TAACAATTAAGATAAAACAGTTTCCTCTCATTTAATTTCTTTCCGTTGATTTTGATTAATTTCACTTGTAACTGATTAGTGAAAGATGAACACAAAAATAATAATCTTCCATAGGGAAACCATTGGCTCTGTTTTCTTCATCAAATCCAAAAGGTTTCTCAATCTATTTTCCTATTGTTATTGGTTAATCCCTTTTAAGATTATATTGTCTGTGGATAAGGATTAGTTTTCATTTCTTTTCATCGTTCTTACAAATTTAATCACAGATTATACATAAATTTGGGATTCATCATCTTAATCCTCAATTTCCTAATCCATATTAAAACTTAATCTCATATCTTTTTCATTAACTTTACTACTCATTCAATTGTAATACTGATTAGGAAACTTTAATTTCCACAATCAATTTAACCTTTAATGAAAAAGGTTAATTGTTGACATTTACTCATTAATTGGATGTAATCTCAAAGGACAAACACAGTTGTAAGTAATAATAAATGACAATTAACTATTAAATAGTTAACGGAAATTAGTTTTAATCAATGAATGATTTGATTAAACAACAATAATTAAAAAATTGAAACTTTAATTGATAAAAATATAATAGTGAAAAAACAGTTAATCAAAAAATTATCAAGCTGAAAGTTTAATTAATCATTTTGATTAGATAATTGATTTAAATTGTGTAAACACAATTGAAGATCCAACTAATCCCAATGAAACCGTTTAAAAGGTTTTATGTAATTAATTGTTCACAATTAAGATTATAATTATTAATCAAATTAAATTGGTCAATTAGTGATCTGGTTTTTGATAAACTTCAAGTAAGATTGATAACTAATATTCAGGGTGGAGGTTGAATTGTGTGGGTGTAAAAAGATGGAGGATGGAGAGAGAGAGAGAGAGAGGAGGAGAAAGATGAATCTTTATCTGGAAACGTAAAGAAAAAAGTTCAGTTGAGTTCAGTTTCCATGAATAAGTAAAATTTCATGGTGAAAATCAGGATTCATGTTTTTTTCTCCTCTGAAAATGAGAAGAGAAAGAAACAGAAGCATGAAAAAAGTTCATGTTGAGCCAATCCAATAATTCACAGACTCAGAAATTTGTGTTTCTTTTTTTCTAGGTTAGTAAAAGTTTCATGTGTGTTCAGAGTTTGTACTAGGAACCATTAAATGTATCATGCAATCAAATTGAAAGGAGGAAGAAGATGAATCTGAAAAACCTTTCTCTTTCTCTTTCTTTCTTTTTTACAAGATGATGATGATGATGATGATTTTGGATTCTGATGAGAAGAGGAATGAATTTTTGTCGCTCTCAGTTGGGCAAACAAGTTTAAATTACAGTTTCTAAGTAAACAAAGTTACAGTTCTGCTTGGACAGCAAAGAGCATCAACAACACACAATCAGTTGAGTTCTAGAGACGATGGGATTGGTGGTGGTGGTGGAAGATGAAGATGAAGATAAAAGAGGAAGATGAACTTTTATACTTGAAGGAGGAGGAAGATAAAGGGATGAGTATCAAGAGGATAACCTTTCACTTTTTTGTCATTAATTTAGTTCACCAAATGATAGTAATCATAATATAAATGTTTCCACTTTCTACTTTTAGTATCAACAAACATCAACATCTACACCTTACAATTAAATCTGTCATTATCATAATTATCATCCATTGATTGTTATTGATTAAATTGTTTACTTTCTTTCTTTACTATCATAACAATTACCATATTCGTTAATTAGTAAAGTTGAACGATTGTTATTCAAATGATAATAATCGTCCAACGATCAATCCCTTTGCCCTTGTCAAGGTTATTCAATATTTTCAATGGATTTTCATTCCATCTTGACAATTTCTATTGATTTCTAACACCAAATTAAGTTATTATCACCATTGGTAATTAGTAATTATGGTTGAATTGACAAACGAATTAGAAAAAAATTTTATGATTTATAAATTTTTCGCTCATGTGGTGAACTCTATGGGCAACGAAATAAACTAAACTCTGGGAGTTGATTGAATTTTTTTATCTTCAACACAATTAATCATTCTGATTGTTAATAATACCTTTGACAACAATCAATAACAATTTATTAACAATGGAAAAGAAAATGAAATTAACCTTTACTAATTTTTTCTTCCCATTTTATTTCATTAATCTTAAATCAATCATTCAATTTGATTTCAAGAGCTTTTTTTTAACAATAGTTTATTGGATTAGTTTTGATTATGTTATCAACGAAACAATTTACTACAATTTATCACTTTAAAATTAGTTGGATTAACTGATCATTCTTAGATTGATGATAACGGTAATAATTATCATCAATCGGTGGTCAATTTAAAGTCTGTTCAAATGAAAGTTAATTATTACTCTGATTTAAATTGATTAAAAAAACAGGAAAATGATTAAAAAATGACAAATTTGTTTACCGGTTGATTATAATAACCATCAAAATGATAATATAATTATGATAAATGGTTGATTTAATTTAGATTCACGCAAAATCTAATTTGAATTCATCATCATCTCTATTTTCATCTTCATCTATTTTTCATATTTAATAATTTACTGAAAACTATGATTATGATAATCAGAATGAAGAAAATGATTTTAATTTTTATCTCATCTTCAATTCACCTTAATTATTTTCTCTGATTAACTTTTTCCTATTTACTATCAAGCATCCTCATCCTCATCCTTTTCATCATCATCTTTGCTATTACTGTATGAGTGTTACAGAGAGAAAGGAAGAAAGAAAGAGGAAATTAATTGAATGAAAGATGAAGTTGATGGTGATGAAGAAGATGAAGATGAGGATGATAAAGTCCAGACAAAGTGATGGTAAATGTTTGACCTAAATGTTAACAGTTAAACAAAAATAATCATCATCATCAAGGTGACTCTCTATGAGAGTTTATTAACTTAAGGATATTATTCTTGAAACAATTTATGAATATTTAATAAGTTAATGGTTAGTGATTAGCTTTACTGTTAAATTGAATACAGATATGATTTATTAATTGAAATGAGATGAAAATTGATCAATACATTTTGATTATAATTATGGTAAATGTTATGATGATGATTTGTATCATTGTTTTTTCATCTTTTTCTCATGTTTACTCAGTTTACTTGTAGTTTTTTATTCATGTTTCGGATCACCAGGTTTGTATCATCATCTGATGATGATAATGGTGGAAGGTGGGGTTGAGTTGATGGAGAAGAGGGATGAGGATGAGGATGAGGATGATAAAACACCATGAGAGTCTCTTTTGTTATCTACTTTTTTCTTCATCAATTTCTACTCTTTTTTTTGCTCTTCCGTTTCTATCGATTATTATTATTAGTATTTCTCCCTGCGCGTTGGGTGTTGATTGTATTCCAGTTGAGTTAAGATGAAAGTTCTGAAACAAATTCTGATCATTCTCAGTTGAACTTTTTCCCTCTGATTCTGTGTCTTTCTTTACTCTCTTTATCGCTTAAGAAAGAGGAGAAAGAGCAAGAGAACTACCAAAGAGAAGTAACTTTCAGCCATATTTTGGGTTTATCAGCATCTTTTTTGTCCTCCCTGTACTTCCCATCATCCTGAGGATGGTAATGGTGTGGATGGTGATCATCATCATCTCCCCCTTCTCCTTTTCTCTCTCTTTTTCCTTTATTTATCTTCCTATTGCTTCCTGGTAAAATTATCAAAGAACCAGAAAATAAGTGATAATTTAGCAAAACCTAAAAACCTCCAATGGTTTATAACGTATATTTGATACAATTTGAATAAATCCATCATGATTAACATTCTGATCTTTTAATTGCCACCATAATTGATTAATCATCGACTTTAATTACTGTTTCATTTCCTCAAAATCATCTTACCATCATCTCAGTTTCCCTTTCATCATCATCCTAGTTTCTTGTTATTGTTATTATTTTTGTCTCAAATTCAATCTCAGTGTTAAAATGTTCAGTTGATTGTGATTTTTTTGATGATAATAATTAAGTCTAATTGTTAATTACTATTCTAATGTGCCTAAATTATCAATAGTAACCTTTATTCATTGTTTTTTTGATTAAAATGTGAATAGTTTCATCAATGAAATGTTCAATTGATTGACTTTGATTGTTGATCAAATTGTTTCCATCTTGATCAATTTCTTAACAGTTAACCATCAATTTTATTATCGTTCATTACAATTAACTTTTACTGCCAATGAATAATTCATTAAATCAGAGCAAAAGTGAAATGGATTAACAATTTAAATTGTGATATTTGCAACTATTCAGTATTAATCTATAAATATACAAACACACACACACACACAATTAAAAAGCCTTACCAACAATTAAATCAACATCAACAATTAGTTTCCGTTCACACACAGAAAACAATTTATCTCAGTATTAATCATTTAAAATTAATTTTGCTTTGCAAACTCAGACCAATATTTATATTGTATTTAATTGAAACCAAAGGCAGATCAAAACAGTTAATTGCAATATGATTAATTGTAATTCAATTACAAAACAAATCAATTCCATATCCATCCTGATAAAATAATCCAGAAAGCAAAAACAATTAATCTGTATCTAAATCAATAACTGCAAAGCAGTAAAGTCTAATTTATTTAATCAGTAAAGTTAATAATTAATTGAATCGTCAATCGTTTGATTGTAATTGTGATATTGTAAAGTTTTAATTGTTGATAATTTGTAATCATGGTGATGGCAATCGATACGTTGACAAGACTTTGCCCCGGGGTTTTGTTTGATTGGCGCTTGTACGCTGAACGAGGTTCACCTCGATACTTTCATCGGCACACCGATAATCATCGGGTCGACGACTGTGAACTGACCTTTTTGAACAAGGTACAAACACCGATTTGCAATATTGATGATTAATTGTTATTATTCATTTGTTTTAAAGGAAACATTATCATTAAAATTATCTGAGATTTTTTGGAAATCATTTAAATTAATTTTGTATTTTCGTCCGTTTTTTAGATGTCCGATGATGAGCGACTTTCTCTGACCACTGCGATTTCCGACGATGACGATGGTGAACTACGCAACTCTCCATATCGAGCTAAAAGTGGAGCAGCAGCGGCTGCCTTTCAGTGTACGGGAGCAGTTCGTAAGGCCGGATTTTTATCAGTCAAAAAATGGCTTCTTCGTAAACGGCATCAGGTTGAATTGGCTCGAAAACGAGGCTGGAAAGGTTATTGGGTTTGTCTTAAAGGGACCACAATACTTTTCTATCCTTGTGATTCCCGTGATGGTCGAGCCATAGAATCAAAACCTCGACATTTAATTATTATCGATGGTTCCATCATGCAACCCATTCCGGAACATCCAAAGCGAGATTTTGTCTTCTGCCTGTCAACCGCTTTCGGTGATGCCTACTTGTTTCAAGCTCCTTGTCAGATGGAGCTGGACAATTGGATAGACGCGATTCACAACGCTTGTGGATCGGCATTTGCCCGACATCGCGGTAAAACAGGGACTCTCCACTTGCTTCAAGAGGAAGTTCATCGAATCGACCGATCAATCGAGGCCGATGCTAAACTCAAACACTTGGCTGAACTTCAATTGACCGTTGTCGCTGATCCAGATTCTCGTAAACAACTAACAGATTCAATTCGCTCCAATGACGAGTCCCTCGAATCTTATCATTGTGAACAATTTCGTCTTCGCTGTTATCTGTCCTCTATCCAAGGGACCGAACTACCTAATCCCAAAACCCTGTTAGCCCATGTTTCCAAGCCAACCAAGTCGATACTCAATCGTCTTGGTGTTTTCACAGTTTCCTCTTTCCATGCTTACCTTTGTGCCCGTTCACCGTCAACCTTGAAAAATATTATCTCTTCTCGAGGATCAACCCGCCGTCGAGGTGTGTCTTCGTCCTCTCCTGCACCAACATCGGCAATGGCATCCGGTGCAATTTCAGCTTCCACTCGATCTCTTTCCCGTCATTCCTCCGGATCAAAAATAGCCGCTTCTTCTGGACTCTCCAGATCAGCTGAACTTCCGTCAGATAAATTGGTTCAAATGATTTTACCTCCGGATGATTCGATTCACACGGTCCATGTTCGTGGTACCGAAACAGTTGAAGATCTTCTTTGGTTAGTTTTCACCGAGAAACAAATGTCACCCAATGATTACTTTATCCGCTGCAAGCGTCTCAATGGTGAACATTATATCCCGTCCCGACACGAAGTTGTTGACCATTTACCTCCTTTCGAGGTGATGGAAGTGGCCGCTAAAGTTTTGTACCAAGTTGAACTTTCCCGACACTCATTGGATCAATTATTTGGTTTCTCAGTTGAAGCCGAACTGGTTGAGAATTCAATTGACCCCCATAATCAAGATGAACTTTGTGTCTTTGTGTCCCGGGTCGAGGAATCAAGTTTAGCCGCTAATCAAGGCCTTAAAAAGGGAGACGAAATTATGGTCATTAATGGTGCCATTGTTTCCGATCTTGACATGATGTATATTGAATCAGTTCTTCAAGAGGAATTATCACTTTGCATGATGTTACGATCTTGTCGAACTGAACCACCTGACCCCGGGTCAGCAATTCGGTCAACCGATGATTTCATCGAATCTCTAATGTGCCCACCACCACCTTCAGATGGACACATGAGTGATGAGATGATTGGTAAATTAATTGTTCCCTCGCCGCTTTGGGTTCAAGAGAGAAGTCGAAGTGGATCAATCCCATCATCTTCAGGTAATCTACCCACTGGCTCGATGTCAGGAAACTCAACAGGTCTATCAAACACTGGCACTAGTGGTGGTGGCGGTGGTGTGTCCACATTAACAACGATAGCACCACCAATGAACACTTGTTTACCCCTTCAAGTGACCGGTGAACAGATCGCTGAGAGTTTACTGAAAAGTGCTGAACAGGTAACATCAGAATTATGCCGAGTTACCGGTGGTACAAATACCAATGCAAGTGGCATCTCAACGAAAGGTTCAACCGCCGACCAAGGTACTAGTGGCTACGCCGCCAGTGGATCTGGTGGACCAGTCGCTGTTTACCCGCCACAATATGTAACCACAAGTAAATCAGCAACCCAACATATTCACACTAGTCAATTACAATATCACAAACCTTTAGTAAACAATTCAATCAGCCTTTCATCAACTAGCGGACAAACGGCCTCACGAAGTACCGATGATCCAGAAAATGTCAACAATCAGGGTTACATTAAACGACCACCATTATCTGATGCAGAAAAGTTAAGAAAAGTAATCAAGGAACTAGTTGATACCGAAAAAACTTACGTTGAGGTAAATATAAGAAAACAATTAACATTTACAATCTTCTAATTGTTGAATTTTTTTCTCCCTCAATTTAGCATCTAAACAATTTACTAGACACTTACCTGGAACCCATGAAGAGGCAAAACTTAGTTTCCAATGGTGACATTAGTTTACTTTTTGGTAACATTCAGGAGATTGTTAACTTTCAACGTGCTTTCCTTGATTCACTTGAGGAAGCAATTAAATTAGATTATTCTTTTGATTCCTACAATCAACCTCCACAATTTAGAAATATCCTTTTCTCCATTGGTAATTCATTCCTATTATATGCAGATAAATTTAAATTATACTCTTCCTTTTGTGCTTCCCACTCCAAGGCTTCCAAGATCCTTCATCCCTCATCCGAAGCGGCACAAAATCCGGCACTCATTGAATTCCTACACACAACCTCCAGAGGTCAACATGCCAACTCTCTAGAATCCTATCTAATTAAACCCATCCAAAGGATATTGAAATATCCACTCCTCCTTTCGCAGTGTAAATCATTGACCGATCCCACCTCCGATGAACATAAACACCTCTCACAAGCACTCAAAGGTATGGAACGGGTTGCTGAGCATATTAACGAAATGCAAAGGATCCACGAAGAGTATGGGGCCATTTTTGATCATCTACAAAGGCAACACTTGAAATCGCTGAAAATTTCCATTGAATTGAGTCCTGGTGAACTTTTATATTATGGTGGAGTGGAATGGGTTAATATTAGTGAATTTTTGGGTAAAATTAAGAAAGGGTTAGATTTACATTCGATGTGTTTTGTGTTTAAAAGTGCGGTTGTTTTTCTATGTAAGGAAAGGATTCGACAGAAGAAGAAACTTGTCTCAGTTTCATCGAAAATCTCTGAGGTGGAAATAATTCGCTATCAGGTTCTAATTCCGGTTACTGAAGTTCAAGTTCGAGCAACATCAACCAAATTAGAAGATAAAAACTCATCGAATGCAAATAATAGTTCTAATCAAATCTCTACTCTTCCGGGCGCTGGTATTAATGCCGATACAACTGGTGCTTCCTCGTCGACCTCTGGTTCACAATATCTATGGGAATTGATTCATCTACGTTGTTCACAAATCGGTGTTTCAACCCAACGTCGAACCGAAAAAGTTTACCAATTATCTAATAGTACAAATGAATTTCGTAATGCATTCCTACGAACAATTAGACAAATAATTAGAGAATCAGTTCGTAAAATGGCCGTGCCTGTAACAAAACCCGCTCTCACCTCGAAATCAGCTTTCCAAGAATCATCAAATCCAGTTAATCATCATTATGTTAAAGATAAACCATCACAACAATCAAATTCAGAATCACAAGGAACTAAACCAATTCCTAATTCAACAACGACAACCGCTGAGACTCATCATCACTCGTAAGTGTTAATCAATTAACTAATCAACCAACTTTGTAAAATTAACTAATCCAGAAAAAAAAGATGCAACCAAAATCCTTTAAATCTTTCTAATCCTTTTCCAATCAACGCCTGATTATCATTTGACTTTTTCCTTTACACTTTTTGTTTATTATTTTCTTATTTTATTTTCATCTTTTACCTTCAACAATTAAACTATTACCTTAATTGTGATGAAAAACAATCAGTGACAAATGACAATAATGACAGAGAAAAAAAACAAAACAAAAAATGAAATTTTCTCTTCTTGTTTATCATCATCCTTGACCACAATAATAGCCTTTCCCGGTCATCATCAATAACGGCTACACCATCAAGCGGAGGTGCAATCGGATCAAATCAACAAACCACCAAGCCAACAATTAAACAAAAACCCGCTCCACCGCCGAGAGCACCAACAACAACCAAATCAACAGGAGGACCTACAACAGCTCAACAACAAGCGGCAATGAAGGAGAAAATGGAACGTGAACATAATCATCATCATCATCATCATCATCATTCATCATCTTCATCATCAGGTAGCAAACAAACCGTTAGTTGTGGTCTTTGTGGTGCCGATGTTGGTCTAGGCCCCAATGATGGTTCCAATAAAATATCAAGTAAAACTGATAAACATCAACAGGGAACATCATCATCAACAGATAAATCTGATCCTTCATCATCTTCAGGAAAAGGAGGAGTAGGTGGTAGAAATAAAGATGAATTAAAAGATGTTGCATCATCTTCATCTCATGAAGATAATCATGATAAACTAAATCAAAGGAGATCAAGTAAACAATAAGATTAAAGAATCAACACTCAACAATTAATGTGAAATAATAACAATTCAACATAATATTTATCAGCAATATAAACAAATTATTATATAAAAAGATGAGGATGGAAAATATAAAAACTCAACTTAATCAACAAACTTTTCAACAATTAACTAATATAATTATAATAACGATTAACTAATGAGAGGTAGAGATTAAATTTGTATTGGGAAAATCAAGAGCAACACAAAATGTGCCAAGGTAAAAGCCCTATGATTGGATTAACACTCATTAATTAGTTAATCAATTTGTGATTGACCTGATTAATTAATCTCTCTCACTCTCTATATCTTTTCCCACCCTCATGCCTCCCACTCCGATTAATATTTCATAATGAATTATATACACACAATAATAATACTTATATATTATATTACAAAGGCTTCCACAATTAAGAAACTTTTTCTAATCACAATGCTAACAATTAACATGATAAACAAATGACATTATTAAGTTAATATCATTGATTACAATTAATGATTAATAATAATGATAAAAAAACGATTTTGCTAATTCATTTGTATTCAATTCACTCCTCAGTGTGATGCTGATTTGAATTGATCATATTTGAATTAAACAAGAAAATTAACTAATTAATTGACTTGAAGCTCAATGTTATGATTAATTGTTTTCAAATGTTTACAATTTAAATTAATCATAACACTTTCTCTCTAATCTCTCTTCTTGTAATCAACTAATTAACTCAAATAATATAAACCAAATTAACTAACTGCAAGAAATTTTCTTTTGATTAACTAACAATAATAACTAAATTTGTTTAATAATATTATTGATTAACATGGTAAACAAATTTATGATTGATGCCTGACAATTTACAACCAAAGCAACAATTAAGTCTAAATTTGATTAGTTAATTGTAATTAACTGGTCATCTTTGCAATATAATTTTAATTGTTATTTAAATTTTATTCATCCTCTCCTTTAATTATGATTAATTAGCAGAAATATTGATTTATATTGTTGTAAAGTAACAACAACAATTTAAGTTGATTATTCATGATTCGAGTAAAAATATTAACGATCTCATAATTTGATCAAATTAAATAACAATTTAAATTGATAACTGTCAATGATAATAAAGAAGACAAGAAAACAATTAAATCAAATCATCTTCTCCTAATTAATCAATAATAATCACAACAATTACTAAATTGTCACAGATCTCAGATCCATTTTTTTAACCTCACCATTAATCATTTTCATTTTCATCAATAATCATAATTAATGTTTTCCTTAAGTTGAAATTACAATTAAACAACTACAACAATTACCTAATTATATAATTATCCTGAAATGATTTGTTTCACTTTGTTATTAACAATTAAAAACTGAACAATTCCCACAGCCGAAAATGTTGTTATCACAATTAACTTAAATTGATTAACACAATTAATTATGTTCATTTAATTAAGAAACTATAAACAATATTAGTAAATTATCATTACAGTCCTTTGTTAATTTTCAATGATTAATTGAAAAATCATCAAATTAATTGTTAGCTCAAATTGTAAAACTAATTATGAATTTGATTGTTTTCTGAGAAACTGATCAACGATTGTTAATTGTCAATACTGATTGTAAATGTAATTGCACTTTTTGTCATCATCAGGTAGCAAACAAACCGTTAGTTGTGGTCTTTGTGGTGCCGATGTTGGTCTAGGCCCCAATGATGGTTCCAATAAAATATCAAGTAAAACTGATAAACATCAACAGGGAACATCATCATCAACAGATAAATCTGATCCTTCATCATCTTCAGGAAAAGGAGGAGGGTGGTAGAAATAAAGATGAATTAAAAGATGTTGCATCATCTTCATCTCATGAAGATAATCATGATAAACTAAATCAAAGGAGATCAAGTAAACAATAAGATTAAAGAATCAACACTCAACAATTAATGTGAAATAATAACAATTCAACATAATATTTATCAGCAATATAAACAAATTATTATATAAAAAGATGAGGATGGAAAATATAAAAACTCAACTTAATCAACAAACTTTTCAACAATTAACTAATATAATTATAATAACGATTAACTAATGAGAGGTAGAGATTAAATTTGTATTGGGAAAATCAAAGCAACACAAAATGTGCCAAGGTAAAAGCCCTATGATTGGATTAACACTCATTAATTAGTTAATCAATTTGTGATTGACCTGATTAATTAATCTCTCACTCTATATCTTTTCCCTCATGCCTCCTCCATTGATTAATATTTCATAATGAATTATATACACACAATAATAATACTTATATATTATATTACAAAGGCTTCCACAATTAAGAAACTTTTTCTAATCACAATGCTAACAATTAACATGATAAACAAATGACATTATTAAGTTAATATCATTGATTACAATTAATGATTAATAATAATGATAAAAAAACGATTTTGCTAATTCATTTGTATTCAATTCACTCCTCAGTGTGATGCTGATTTGAATTGATCATATTTGAATTAAACAAGAAAATTAACTAATTAATTGACTTGAAGCTCAATGTTATGATTAATTGTTTTCAAATGTTTACAATTTAAATTAATCATAACACTTTCTCTCTAATCTCTCTTCTTGTAATCAACTAATTAACTCAAATAATAAGAAACTTTTCTAATCACAATGCTAACAATTAACATGATAAACAAATGACATTATTAAGTTAATATCATTGATTACAATTAATGATTAATAATAATGATAAAAAAACGATTTTGCTAATTCATTTGTATTCAATTCACTCCTCAGTGTGATGCTGATTTGAATTGATCATATTTGAATTAAACAAGAAAATTAACTAATTAATTGACTTGAAGCTCAATGTTATGATTAATTGTTTTCAAATGTTTACAATTTAAATTAATCATAACACTTTCTCTCTAATCTCTCTTCTTGTAATCAACTAATTAACTCAAATAATATAAACCAAATTAACTAACTGCAAGAAATTTTCTTTTGATTAACTAACAATAATAACTAAATTTGTTTAATAATATTATTGATTAACATGGTAAACAAATTTATGATTGATGCCTGACAATTTACAACCAAAGCAACAATTAAGTCTAAATTTGATTAGTTAATTGTAATTAACTGGTCATCTTTGCAATATAATTTTAATTGTTATTTAAATTTTATTCATCCTCTCCTTTAATTATGATTAATTAGCAGAAATATTGATTTATATTGTTGTAAAGTAACAACAACAATTTAAGTTGATTATTCATGATTCGAGTAAAAATATTAACGATCTCATAATTTGATCAAATTAAATAACAATTTAAATTGATAACTGTCAAGTGATAATGAAAAGAAGACAAGAAAACAATTAAATCAAATCATCTTCTCCTAATTAATCAATAATAATCACAACAATTACTAAATTGTCACAGATCTCAGATCCATTTTTTTAACCTCACCATTAATCATTTTCATTTTCATCAATAATCATAATTAATGTTTTCCTTAAGTTGAAATTACAATTAAACAACTACAACAATTACCTAATTATATAATTATCCTGAAATGATTTGTTTCACTTTGTTATTAACAATTAAAAACTGAACAATTCCCAAAGCCGAAAATGTTGTTATCACAATTAAATTGATTAACACAATTAATTATGTTCATTTAATTAAGAAACTATAAACAATATTAGTAAATTATCATTACAGTCCTTTGTTAATTTTCAATGATTAATTGAAAAATCATCAAATTAATTGTTAGCTCAAATTGTAAAACTAATTATGAATTTGATTGTTTTCTGAGAAACTGATCAACGATTGTTAATTGTCAATACTGATTGTAAATGTAATTGCACTTTTTTTGTGATTGATTGGAGTCGAGAAGATGATTAACAAATTACTAGGAAATTAATAAATCAACTGCTTTTGATTGTAAACAATCAACTAATAAATTAAACTCATATCAATTACAATCAGATCTAAATCAATAATAATATAATTGTAATCAAAAGCTTCCTCTCGATTTGCTAATTTAAATCATTACGATCAAACAAACTTTGATTAATCAATTGTTTCAATAAATTGTTCACAACAATTGAACAACAATCAAAATGAATTAATCAGAAATCAACATCTTCAAAATGTCCAATGTTAATTATAAATCAATTCAATTATCATAACAATTAATTGATTTCATTTTTTTTTGTTTCTCTCTTTTTTTTATTACCTTCAATTGTAAATCCAATGGTCACTTAATTAGCGTTAAAACTAATCCTATTTCTTGATTATTATAATTATTATCATTTAAATTGTTTCTAGTCATTATAAAAACTTTTTGTTAGTTGATAATTAATTAATTAATGTTAATAATAATAAAGAAATTAATTAAATTGAAAACACAAACAAAAATGTAAACTTTTGTCCAAATTTGTAAAGGTTAATCAAACAACAATCTTCAAACTAAATCACAAACAATTAATGAATTGGGAAAAAACTAAAGAAACTAAAGTTAATTGTCAGGTAAATCATGAATCCAGAAAGATAGATTAGCTGATTCAAGAATAATTGTGATTAGGTTAGTAATTAATTAACTAAGAAATTGAATGGAAAACATTAACTAAATCAAAATTGACTCACCAGACTTACCTTTAAGGTGATTAATCAAATCAATCATGTCTGTAAATCTTATAATGTTTCAAAAAATATCTGATTAATTAGCGAGCAATTTAATTTCTTTGAATTATCTCTTGATTGTTTACTTTTCTTCCTCCAAGAAGGTTGATAAATGAAACCACCAACAACACCATCACCACCATCACCATCGCCATCGGACCAATGAACTTTAATAACAAGATAAAATTCTGATCATCAACATCAGAATCTTCGGAATGATTATGATAATGAACATTTTTACTGAAAACATTTATGCTCATGATGATTTCTGTGATACTCTATGGATCTCTGATCGTGCGTTGGATGAAAACTTTAAAAAACTTTCTCCATCTCGTATTCGCGGTCAGCTGAAGTAGAAAAGAATTAAAATGAGAGAGAAAAATTAGAAAAAAAAGTTGAATAAAGTGGCCCCTTCTCTCCCTTTACTCTCTTTCTTGTTTTCTTTTTCTTCGGTGTTTATTCAGTTTAACTGCTCCATGTTAATGATTATAATTAAACTGGTTCATGTTATTACAGAGGCGGAGGCCATCAGAGTATTTAACTTGATTGCTTGGTCTTAGATTGTGTGTTTTATATGTTGCGTGGCTTTGAAGATGAATCAATTCAATTCCGCTCACCCTCAAGATTTTCATTTTCGTTATCATTATCATCACCATGATCTTTATTTTCTTTACTTTTTTCTTCTCCTTCGTGTTCAAATTCACAGTCTAAGAGGAAGAGAGAGAGAGAGAGAGAGAGAGAGAGAGATTTAGTTTTCCTTTACATTGAATGTAAATTGATTATCTTTAAAGATCATGTTGATGATGTTTAATGTTGATTTGATTCCTGTGAATTATTATATCTAATCATTTTTACCAGTATCGCAGGTATCATCATCAACTGATACAGTTTGAAATTGAAAGACTGATGATGATATGATTAACCTTCAAGGTAAGTTGTTTTCTGATTGATGTTAAGATAATGATGATGATGAGATACAATCAATTTCACAGGACATCGGTCGCAAAGAGAGAGAGAGAGAGAGAGAGAGATTCAACTTTACCATCCAATGGATTTTTTTGTTACTTGGTCTTGTTAATGTTACTCTAATTACTTGTTAAAATGGTTCCAATCTTTCAATGAGAACATTTTATTTTCACTTTATCCGATTCCTTAGCTTTTAATTTGTTGTTAAATTGATGATAATGATGATCCATTTGCTTCATTTCTTTTACCATGTAAGTTGCCGTCAAATTCAAACCTGTACTTTAAATACATAAAGAGGGAGAGAAACAGTTAAAAGTATGGAAGAAGATGAAGATAAAAGATGGAAAAAGCTTCTGCATCTTGTGTACCTTTATTTTTACAACGTAAATCAAAATTGATCTAACATGTTATCCACCGAGCGGGAGATAAACAGAGAGGTAAAACTTGATAATGA